GCTCCTCATACCGGCTCCTCTTAGACTCTCCATCCTTACCACCTTCTCAGCCAGCTCATCTGTGTTTGTTTACGATCCGTGGCTCTCACTAGGATGCAGACATTGTTTTTTTTTCTCTCTCTTATTGTTGCATCACCAGGATGAAACAAAAGTGTAGGCTCAAAGAAAATAATAAACATTGGTGGGATGAACAAAGTCAAGGAGACCAAAGAAAGGAGGAGGAAGCCAGGTAGGGGCTGGGAGTGGAGGCTAGCCCCAAAGCTGAGACAAGATGGGTACAACAGGCTGGGTGAGATCTGGGGGTTGTCTCCAGGTTCATGGTGAGAGTTTCTTTTTTGTCTTGACTCAGATCTAGAACCTTTTTGGCAGGCTGGGTTCTCTCTCTGCAGGGCATCTGGAAGCGGGGCCTGGCTATCAAACCCAGTTTCCTGGCTTCACGAGACAGCTCTGATACCAGGTGTGGTCTTCGTGGCCCCCACAAACCGACCTCCCCAAGACTTCTCCCTACCTGCTTGCTGAGTCTGGCCTCGGGTGGGGGTGCTCCGCGGCCCATCCCCCGCAGCATTGAAGGCTGCTACGCTGACCATGTAGGCTGTGTAGCCTGTCAGGTTCTTGAGCTTCACACTGTTCTCAGCCAGGAAAAGCGTCTTCACCCTCTCGGTGAGGTTCCTCCGCTGGACTTCCCAAAAATAAATCTGTGGGGACCCCAACAACAATGGGAGTGAGCGGGGTGAAGACAGGTTTCCCCTCTGCCTCTGCCCACCACAGGGTTCAAAGACACATCTGCCTTCAACCAGGAAGTAGCTAAGAGCTCTTTGAGAAAGGTTCCAGAACTTTCCTTTTAATAGGCAATACCTAGACTGGAAACTGTGTGTCTTGGGTCACTGTGGTTGGTATCTGTAGCATATGACACAGATGGTTTTTTTTTTTTTTTTTTTTTTTTTTTTGATTTTCGAGACAGGGTTTCTCTGTAGCTTTTTGGTTTATGTCCTGGAACTAGCTCTTCTAGACCAGGCTGGCCTTGAACTCAGAGATCCGCCTGCCTCTGCCTCCCGAGTGCTGGGATTAAAGGCGTGCGCCACCACTGCCCGGCTGACACAGACATGTTAACTTCAGGATAGGAATCTGTCATTCAAGAGTTGAACTGTAGAGGTGAGAGCAAACATGGACTCTGTTTCATGTGTGGGGCACAAGTGCCTGGGAATGCCAGGGAATTGGTGAGGAGCAGAGAGCCTCAGTCCTGACCAACCTGCCACATCAACAGCTGCAGGCTGCTAAGACCGCTGATGATGCTTGTGTGTGTGTGTGTCTGTGTGTGATGCACACACCACACACACACACACACAGACACACACACATGCATGCATGCTACAGTTCTGTGGTGGTTGTGTATAATCCAATTTTGGTACATGTAGATATGCCACTTTGCAAAGCCTGCTGCAGGGGAAGGCTGGAGTAAGAGGGCATTTGGTTCGTGGTTGAATTCTGATAGCACCATTTGCTAGCCATGTGACTTGGTCAGGCATGATTTCTCTCAGCTACAGAGGGGTCGAGAACTCCCACTTTCCAGAGTGTGAGAGCTGCAAGCCACAAGAACTGAAGAAGAGGGAGCAGAGCTTCCCCGGGGGGAACTGGTCAGCTTTTAAAGATATGGCATGTTTGTGGAAGATGTTAGGTCCTCGACGCAGCAGGCGCTTCCTATGGAGTTTCCAGGCATTCTGCAACAAGCATGGGTTAGTGCTTTTAAACACACATAGAAGATTCTCAAACTACACTAGGAATGTTGAGCTGGGACCCTCTGTAAAGCCTGGAGTCCCAAACCTTGCACAAGATCAGAGATCATTTGGCGCCACCTGCTGGCCAAAGAGGTTTCTGTACGCCATTGGCTCTTCAGTTTCTCTATACCAATAAAAGTGAGAAAGAGCTAATAAAAGTGTCCGCCCCCAGCATGCACAAACGGCAGTTAGGACATCTTGTTACTACAAAAGCCTTGTTTTTCTACAGCCTTGCCTCTTTTTTTGATTCTTTATATGGGGAGTTAAGGTTCTTCATTCATAAAATCACTCATCCATTGACTATGAGGCCACTCCAGCAGCGACATAGCTTCCGCTGGAGTCAAATCTGTACACTCCCCAAGCACCAGCAGTTTGCTGAGCACGCCCAGAGGACTGCCCGATTCTTCTAGCCAGAGGCGAGGAATAGATGGATTCCCGGACCTCTGTGCTCACGTGCAGGGGGAGCTGGAACAGCGACAGAGACCCAGGAGGGGCAATAGGCAGCGTGAGGAGAAATGGGCAGGAGAATGCCGTGGCTCAGCCGTGTAAGGTACGCCACTGCAGAGACAGGCAGAGTGAAGCCTGGGACGGGGTTGATGGGGATCACGGTGTGTTTATCAGCAGCCTTAGCAGAATGAGGTTTGGAAGGGTGGTGGGGACGAGGGTCTACTTGGAGTCAGGTTTGGGAGAGAGAATAGCTGGCCGAGTGAGAGGGGCAGTGAGCCTGGGAGACTGTCTTTGATTCCCTTCCTTTCCTCCCCTGCCTCCTCTTCTCCCCTCCCTCTTGGTCCCTCTCTCTCTCTGTTGAAGATGAAGCTTAGGTTTCATGTATACTATATCACGCCTGTGTATCACCGGAGCATAGCAAACTGTTGTCAAGCACTTTAAAGATGAGCTACATCCCCATCCCACGGAGGATGGCCTTGAATTCTCCAGTAAATGGACCAAGAGAGGAAATAATGAGATGTGAACAAAAACATAAGGTTAGGAAAGGGCATTAAAAGACAAAATAAGGGCCGGGCGGTGGTGGTGCATGCCTTTAATTCTAGCTCTCCAGAGGCAGAGGCAGGTAGATGTCTGTAAGTTCAAGGCCAGCCTGGTCTACAGAGCGAGTTCCAGGACAGCCAAGGTTGTTACACAGAAAAACACTGCCTCGAAATCCCCCACCCTCAAGAAAAAAGGGGGGGGGGCAGGAGAGATGGCTCAGTGGTTAGCAGCACTCTTGCAAAGGACCTAGGTTGGTTCCCAGCACCCATATCTAGTGACTTACAACTTCCTATAACTCTGGTTTGAGACTTGATGCTCTCTTCTGGCTTCCTTGGGTTCCTGAATGCTTGTGGTAGACACAAACTCATGCCGACAAACACATATTTTATGTATAAAAATACTAAGCAATGAACAAAAGAGGAAACAAATATCAGAAAGCCTTTATGACCTGCTGTGGGTGACAGGCCCCAGAGGGAGATACACAGTGCTTCCAGGTGGACAAGGTCAACAGCTGGGAACCATGCTCTTGGGCAGGGCAGTGTCAGGGTGTAGAACCTACAGAGACAGAGCACCTGTTTGCTGCCAGTAGGCCTTTGTAAGACGATAATACACAGTAAAAGGGACAAGGGGGCTAAGTCTGGATCCCGGTTCTTGGTTCCCTGGTTGATGGGTAGAGTGCCCACTCACGGGGAAGTAGGTAAATACCAGGCTGGGGGCTCCAGAGGGAACCCCACTCCATCTGGCTCCTCGGTGTCTCGGGCACCTAGAATCACACCTGACACAGGGTTGACACTCAACAGACCTATGTCATGTGGGGCAATGCCCGATACAGACGGGCTGGAGCGGCAGTCAGTGACTCCATCCCTGTTCTTATCTACTTGTTTTTATTCCCAGACCATTTTCAGTTTTCTTTTTCTTTTCTGAGACAGTTTCTCTGTAGCTTTGGCACTTGTCTTGGAACTCACTTTGTAGACCAGGCTGGCCTTGAACTCACAGAGATCCGCCTGTCTCTGCCTCCCAAGGGCTGGGATTAGAGGTGTGTGCCACCACTGCCTGGCCCCATTTCCTTTTAAAAACTTTTCTGGGGCTGGAGAGATGGCTCAGAGGTTAAGAGCACTGACTGCTCTTCCAGAGGTCCTGAGTTCAATTCCCAGCAACCACATGGTGGCTCACAACCATCTGTAATGAGATCTGGTGCCCTCTTCTGGCCTGCAGGCATACATGGAGGCTGAACACTGTGTATATAATAAATAAATAAATCTTAAAAAAACTTTTCTGAGATATAGTTGACAAAGTTTTAATATAATTAAGATATATAATTAATGTTCTTATTTGTTTATTGCTGTTGTTTATAGTGCTAGAAACAGAACCCAGGACCTTATGCATGCTAGGTAAGCATGCATCATTGTGACTTTTTTTTTTTTTTTTTTTTTTGAGGCAGGGACTTCCGTAACCTGGGCCGCTCTTGAACTTTTTATGTGACCTGAAGCCTCTGATCCTCCTGCCTCTACCTCCTTAGTGCTGGGATTAAAAGCGTACACTGCTACGACTGTTTCAGGCCTGCTGAGGGTTGAGCTCCGGGAACCATGCATGCTAGGCAAGCACTCTACCAGTTGAGCCAAACCCACAGACCCCCGATGTCTTGATATCCACAGAAACCGTGGAACATCATCACACCAAGCTAACTGGCATCCATCAGCTCAGACAGTTAGCTTTTGTCATGCGCAGTGAGAAGCTTGAAGAGCGAGCTTCTCTGTGTATTTCAGGTACACACTACAGCTTTATCAGTCACTGCTAGAATACGGCAGGTTAGACCCAAGAATTTAGATGCCTGAAACTCTTTTGGCTAGGGGTTGTTGTTCACTTCTGTGAGATTAGTCTCACTGTAACCCACGAAGACCTGGAACTCACCATGAAGCTCAGGCTGGTCTGGGATCACTCTAAGAGGAACCTAGATTCTCTTGGATCCTCCAAGAAGAACTTAGAGTGATCCTCTGCCTCAGCCTTCTAAGCGCTAGGATTATGCACCACCACGCCTGGCTTGAAATGTTTACCCTTTGACCAGCATCTCTCCAGTCCTTCCCTCCTCTGGCAACCACCTTCTACTTCCTGGTAGCATGACTTAGACTACTCTGTTATTGCTATCCATAGACTCTGATGTATAAGTGAGCTCACGCAGACCAGTCTTTCTGTGTTTGGCTTATTTCACTAAACACAATGTCTTCTGGGTTCATACAGCTTTGTGGCAGGAAAACAAATGAACCTTTCCCAAACAAAAGAAGACAAATAAATGGCTTAAGAGGAACCTAGAAAATCCATGCCACAGTGACCAGCTGTGCACCATGACACTGGCTGTAATCCCAGCACTTGGTGATGGAGGTAAGACAATCGAAGTTAAATATCATTCTTAGCCATATGGTGAGTTGAGGACCAGCCTGGGTTACATGTGACCCTGTCTCAAACAAAGCAAATTGCAAGGGCCTGTCCTGTAGCGCCTACGGTGGTGGCTGTTGTCAAGATGTCAAAAGAAAACCAGCCCCACGGAGCGAAACTGGAAGCCTCCTGTGCCATCACTGAAAATGCAAAATGGCCCAGCCACTGTGGGAAACAGTCTGGAGTTCTTCAAAGAAAATTAAAAATAGAATTGCCATATGATCCAGCAATCTCATTTCTGGGAATGGATCCAGAAGTATTAAAATGAGGATCTTGAAGAAGATATTTATACTCCTGTGCTCACCGCAGGAAGATTCACAGTAGCCAAGATGTAGAAAACCCAGGCACCCTATTGCATACCTGTCACCCGGCACTTGGAAGTAGAGGCTGAGAGTCGCAAGTTCAAGGTCAGCCTCCAATCCATAGCTAGTTTGAAACCAGCCGGAGCTTACATAAGACCCTGTCTCAAAAACAAACACAAACCAAAATCCCCTTCTAAATATTTGTCAGTGGGCGAGGAGACAAACGTGGTGCTTGTGTGTATACACGCTGGAATATCATTTTGCTTTAAAAGGAGGGCAATCCTGCCACTCACAGTAACACAGACTACATCGTCCTCTTGTGAGATTCACGCCATCTCTAGATTGCTAAGAACACCTAACGTGGGGCTGGAGAGATGGCTCAGTGGTTAAGAGCATTGCCTGCTCTTCCAAAGGTCCTGAGTTCAATTCCCAGCAACCACATGGTGGCTCACAACCATCTGTAAAGAGGTCTGGCGCCCTCTTCTGGCCTTCAGGCATACCGACAGAATATTGTATACATAATAAATAAATAAATATTAAAAAAAAAAAAAAAGAACACCTAACGTGAGGTCAAGACTACGTAAGCAGCACTGTCTAGGGAATACCAACAGGGAACCGGGAACATGTCAGGCCCGACATTTCCCTCCAATGTCTATGATCCTCGGCAGGCTGACTCCAAGTCACAGGAGAGCCCCTGGGAATAGACAGCTGTAGTCCCTGTCTCCCTGCTCTTCCTCTCACTTCACTCCCAGGAGGGCGCTGAGATGTGAAACTGAAGGGACCAGGTGGGACTCTGCTGTCTCCTATCGTCCTGACGCCGGTTGTTTCTCCCATCTTTATTTATTCATCTATTTCCTGGAGAGGGGAAAGCAGTGCCGTGGATGGAACCCAGGGCCTTGTGCATGGTAAGCAGGAATTCCATCACTAACATTCTCAGCCCCTTTTTGTTTGTTTACTTGGATATAGTCCCATGTAACCTGGTACAGCCTTAAACTAGCTGTGTGGTTGAGAAGGGCTCTGAACTTTTTTTAAAAAATAATTTATTTTATTTTTATGTGCCTTGGTGTTTTGCCTGTATGTCTGTGTGAGGGTGTTAGATCTTGCAGTTACAGACAGTTGTGAACTACCACGTGGATGCTGGGATCTGAATCCAGACCTCTGGAAGAGCAGTCAGTGCTCTTAACCTCTGAGCCATCTCTCCAGCCTGGAGTTTGAATCTCCCTGCCTGCACCTTCAGAATACTGGGATTATGGATGGATATCGCAACCAATTTATAGCTGTTGTTTCTATTTTATATTGAAATTTTAATTATTTGTGCATGTGTTTGTGTTTGTGGCTGAACACATGAACGCAGGTGTCTGTAGGGGTCAGGGGAAGGTGCCAGAGCTCCTGGAGCTGAAGTTATAGCCAGATGTGGATGCTGAGAAAAGCAGCAAATGATCTTCACTAATGAGCCATCTCTCCAGCTTCACTCCTGTTATTTTGGAGTAAGAGTCTTGATAGGTAGCCTAAGCTGGCCTTGAATTCACAATTCTGCCTCAACTCCACTTTCCACTCCAGTACTTGATGATAGGTGTGTATTGCCATGCCTGGCCCGGTGGCTCTCTTCCCATCCATCTATCCACCCACCCATCCATCCATCCATCCATCCACCCATCCATCCATCCTCCATCCATCCATTCAACCACCCACCCACGCATCCATCCACCCACCCACTCATCCACCCATTCGTCTGTCCATCCATCCATCCATCCATCCATCCATCCATCCATCCACTTATCTGTCCGTCCGTCCATCCACCCAACCATCCATTCATCCATCCATCCATTTTTTTTCCCCATTAATTTTCAAGACTGTAACACTGGCTGGCCTCGAACTTAAAATTCTCCTGTCTCAGCCCCTCTTACCATCTGTACATGGATTACCAAGCCTGGCCTGATAGTTCACTTTTTAATTAACTAGTTAAAAATTGAGACTCACCACATGGCTCTGGATAGCCTGGAACTTGCTACATAGAGTAGGTTGGCCTCAAACTCACAGCAATCTGCCTGTCTCTGCTTCCTGAGTGCTGGGATTAAAGGTGTGCGCCTCCACTCCACGGCTCTGCTGGCTCTCTTTAAGGTCACCTTGACTATTTTTTTTTCCTGCAGAGTGCTAGCTCATCAAGGTTTGGGGTTCGTAGACCTCACTCAGCCTCTGCTGCAAGTATTCAGGTCTGCTCAGCACCTCCTTGTGCAAAAGTAGCCATAGCAATTTGTAAACATCTAGGCATGGCTATAACCCAAAAAAACATTATTTATGCAAAGACAGAGGGCCAGATTTGGCTTATGGGCTACAGTTAGTTGGCCAATCCTATTAAATTGAATTATCTGGCCTAATTCCAGCATCTTTTTTTTTTTTTTTTCTGGATAGGATCTCACATAGCCCAGAGTGGCCTCAAGCTCACTAGGCAGCCAAGGAAGAAGGTTCTGGAACTTCAGGACCTTCTGTTTCTGCCTCCTAGTGCTAGATGTGCACTGTCATGCCTGGTTTATGTGATCCGCAGACTGAACCCCGGGCTTTGGGTCCAATCAATTTAGCTCATCTACAGACCCTCTGATATCTTAGATAAAACCAATCAAGATCCGCAAACTGGGGCTCAGTGGTTCAGAGCACTGACTGCTCTTCCAGAGTTCCTTAGTTCAATTCCCAGCAACCACACGGCACCTCATCTATGATGAGGGCTGATGCCCTCTTCTGGCGCGCAGGCAAGCATGCAGACGGAACATTGTATTATAAAAAATAAATAAACCTTAAAAAAACCCCACAAGCCATCTGGGTTGTAATCCTCTCTTAGCACCCCGAAAAACTGCTCCCCGGGCTGTACCTGCTCTGTCTCGCACCAGGAGCTGACAATCCCGTTTCCCTCCCCACAGAAGCAGTTTCTCCTTTGCACTGAGTCAGCATCACTCAGGCTTCCCCCCAGGGCTCAGGTTTGGGTCTTTGTTTTCCATCTGTGTCGGTGCACAGTCTACGTGCTGAGCACTCTACAGTACACATCTCTGGGGCGGAGCCTTCCTCCTAAGCCCTGCTTGTAGCTACAGCTTCATAGTCTCTCTTGGCAGCTAGCAAGATGTTCTGAAATGGAAGCCAGATTCTGGGTCTCCCCAGCTCCCTCCTCTTTTTCCTTCCCTGTGACTGAGGTTCCATCTTCCTGATGCTCCCTGGCTGTGGGGCTATGATCCCGCTTCTTCCCTCATGCCAGGGTCATCTGTCAGAATCTACCAGCGCCACCCACTTCCCCTTCTTCTTCCAGGGACTAGTGTAGCCTAGGCTGGCTTTGAACTTGCTATGTAGCAAAGGATGACCTTGAACTTCTAATGCTTCTGCCTCCGCCTCCTGAGTGCTGGGGTTACAGGTGTTTGTTACAGGTGTCACACACAGGTGTTACAGGGGTTATAGGTGTGTATCATCACAGCTGGATATATGGTGGTGGGGATAGAGCCCAGGATGTCACACATGCAAGGTAAGCACTCTGGCAGCTGAGCCCCCCACCTGCAGCCTGGATACTGATGTGAACACATCAGGCCCCGTCGATGGTTGCTGAATGCCACAGCACTGATTAGCTCACATCCGGGACACGACAGTTCTATCCCTAACTTCAGACTCATGTATTACTTATATTTTCTGGAAACTGAAGGCATTTGCTGTGTTCTCTATGATACCTGGGCACCCACACATTTCCTGGATCTGTAGTTAAAATTCACAACTTCTAAACCTCAATAGTCTAGTGACTGTCACACTGTGGTTGGCTCCCCCTGGCGCCTCTTTTCCCTCCAGAGGCATATGCTATGGGATGCAATATTTTGTCTTCCCAGCTGGCACTCCTGGGCAAAGCCTTGAGGGGTATCACCCATCTTCAGAGCTTCCTTGGCATGATGCCTCCCTCCCCCTTCTTTCTCCTCCTCCAGCCTGGATGGAAAAGCTTCCTATGCTGGGTTCCGCCTTACATCAGGGCGGCCTGTCTTCACAGGTTCCGTGACAGAGAACAGTGCTTCACCCTGGTGGACTCTCATTGTCATCTGTGGAATGACAGGCTGGGCCAGGAAAGCCACTGGATCCTGTGGTTTGCATACCCAATGCTCCTAGGGCCGCTGCATGGGGTGAATTTTCTGAAATACCATCCAAATATCAGGAACCAGTCTCCCCCAGATGTTGGCTAGGGAGGCAAGCTTCGGTCACAGCCGGGGGCTGTGTGCTCTAAGGAATGAGGTTGGTTAGCTCTTTATTTTTCTACACTCTGCCTCCTCCCGGGACCTGGCCGTGTGCTCTCCACACTCTGCCCCTCCCAGGACCTGGTCATGTGCTCCGCACTCTGCCTCCTCCCAGGACCTGGTCATGTGCTCCGCACTCTGCCTCCTCCCAGGACCTGGCCATGTGCTCTGCACCCTCCTCCTCCTGGGACCCACTGTGTTTTCTGCTTCCTGGCAAGGTGGAGTTGGGCACTGGATTCTAACACCTGTTGGTTTGTGACCTCTCCCGACCACATCAGTGGTGCCACAGTTTCCTCATCCATAGAAAATGGGCCTTAATGGCCACAAGGTAGCCTGCAGCAGTTTAGAGGGTTCTGCAGATACGAACCCCACCATAATAACACAGCATCCTGAATCAGAGATGACCTTCAAGCCGATTTTCAAATACTGCCAGAGGTGCTTGGCAAACTGATCATCTAATCAATATTAGGGCCTAAGAATTCGCAGACTTTTTGAATTTTTATTTTTTGAGACAGAGTCTCGTGTAGCCTAGGTTGGCCTCAAACTTGCTATAAAGTTCAGGTTGACCTTGAACTCCAGTCCTTCTGTCTCTACCCCCTGAGTACTGGGGTTATATAGACCACATCTGGCTTCTGAGGTGCTGTGGTTTGAACCTGGGGCTTTGTGCAGTCGAAGCAAGCCCTCTATTGACCAAGCCACATCCCCAGCCCCTACTCCTCAGAACTCTTTTTTTTTAAATTTATTTTTATTAAGGATTTCTGCCTCCTCCCCGCCACCGCCTCCCATTCCCCCCCCCCCATCAAGTCCCTCTCCCTCATCAGCTCGAAGAGCAATCAGGGTTCCCTGACCTGTGGGAAGTCCAAGGACCGCCCACCTTCATCCAGGTTTAGTAAGGTGAGCATCCAAACTGCCTAGGCTCCCCCAAAGCCAGTAAGTGACTATGGGGCTGGAGGTGGTGGAGTTGTGCACTGTGTGCCTTAGAGCAGAATAAGCCGAGGTGTGGTCTGAGTTCCTTGGACCAAGCTCAGTCCACCTCAGAATGTAAGCACCTTCTACAACACCACAGTATTTACTTCTGTCAGCTGACACACGGGACTGTGATCAGAAAGGGCTTGGGATATCATCCCAAGGCTTGGGACTCACCCAACTCTTCCCTCACCCCTCTGTCCCTCTGCACCCCGTTCCTCTGCCGCATCACCCGTACCTTGTACCCTTGGATGTCTCCATTCTGGCTGTCCAGTGGGGGTGGCTCCCAGGTCACATCTAGCTGTGTGGCTGTAGCACTGTGAATGGCCACGTTCTGGGGTGCTGCTGTGGGCACTGGGGGGGGGCATGAAGGGTGGTGAGTGAGCTATGGAAGAGGAGGTGCCTAGGGCAGGGTGGGGGACGCTGGACGAGTACCCGGGACTCACGGGGGAGGCCGCACTCACCTGCCTCCCCGACAAAGACCTCTTGTGGTGGGCTCAAGGGTCCCTCTCCCACGGCGTTGTACACGCTCATCCGGATCTCATAACGCTTGTGTTTGCTCAGATCTATGGGTGAGAGGGGGGAACCAGGAACACAGGTCATAGACCCCGTGGGAGGAGTCCTCCATAGAGGCTGGAGCTACCGACTGGGGGGAGGAGGAATATCTACCATTCTAGGGCCCTATGTGGCACTGGGGAGAAAACAGGTAAGGGGCAAGCCTTAGATGTTTGGGCTGTACCCTGCCAACAGAATTCATGTCACAAAACAGCTTTCTGTTCTAGGGTCATACAGACCATTGCATCTCCAAGTAAATAGTGTTGAGACCGAAGGGGGCCATATTAACAGTCTTGGCCACCCTGGACCAGAGGGCCAAACTTTTTTCCCACTACGACTGACGCAAACCATTTCAGCCATGTTCCTGCTGTGTCCTACCTGTCCCCACTCACCAGCTCTTTTATTTTCCTATTCTTTCAGGGACCAGGGATGGAATTCAGGATCTCTTGAAGGCTAAGTACAAGCTCTACTAGTGAGTTGTACTCCAAACCCTACCCCACCCCACCCCACCCCACCCCACCCCACTGGCTCAGTCCTAGAGGGGAAATGCTTATGGAACGTGAATTCTGGGCCAAGAAATCTCATGTATTAATCAAGCTTGGGGGAGGAGGCCTGGTGAACAGAAGCTTCTGCAATAATGGGTTCTGTCATCCTGGATGGGAGATGTGATCCCTTTCCCTGGTGGCCACTTGGTCCTCCCATACTCTGTCCCCGTCTCCTTTTCACCATCTTTCCCCAGGGTGGCAGTTCTGTCATGGAGTAGGCTCATGCTGAGGAGAAAAGGGCAGTCTAGACCCTGCTGTTGACCTGCTGGCCCCTCAGATGCTCACATCTATACTTTGCTACCCAGCGTTGATAGGGCCCTGCTTCCCAAGCTCGTAAGATGTACGCGCCATGGGCGGTCCTAGTATTCAAGATGGGTGGGTGTCAGCTTGACACAGTCACCTGAGAAGAGGGAACCTCATCTGCGAAAATGCCTCAATCAGATTGGCCTGTAGGGAAGTCTGTAAGGGCATCTTCCTGATTAATGATTGGTGTGGGAGGGAGCACCCTTGGGTGGTATAAGAAAGCCATGGGGGAGCAAGCCAGGAAGCAACGTTCCTTCATGGCTTCTGTTTCAGTTCCTGACTTGAGTTCCTGCTTGATTTCCCTTAGCAATGGAGTATGATTGGGATGTGCAAGCCAAACAAACCCTTTTCTCCTCAAGGCATTTTTTCTTAGTCTTTTTTTTAAAAAAAAGATGTATTTATTTTATGTCTGAGTGCTCTATCTGCATGTACACCTTTATGCCAGAAGAGGGCATCAGATCTCACTATAGATGGTTGTGACCCACCATGTGGGTGCTGGGAATTGAACTCAGGTCCTCTAGAAGAGCAGACAGTGCTCTTAACCACTGAGCCGTCTCTTCAGTCTCTTGTCCTATTCTTTATTACAGTAACAGAAGGTAAACTAGGGAAGTGGGTACCTGCTTGGCCTGGCTTCAGGTGTTCTTGAGGACCCCTCCCCAGCCCATCCCAGGAGGCCTGGGCCATGAAGAACCACCATGCAAGGGGACTTACTGTCCAGCTCGTACTGCGTGAGGCTGGGCCGGGTCAGGTTCCGCATGGAGTACAAGGCTAGGGGGCAGGAGGTGAGAGCCAGGGAGACAGCAGACAGAGGTTAGTGTCCACAGGCATCCCACCCACTGGGAACCAACTAGGCCTGGGAAGTACGACAAAGTTGGCAATGGAGTAGGCTGAGGCACACTTCCAGTTCCTGGTGTTGAGGCAGGGGCCCAGATGGGAATCGGGGAGAGGGTAGGTCCTGAAACATTGCTGCCCCTCCCTTGGTGTATAATGACTAAGGGGGAGCCCCTCAGAGCCTACCAACACTGGGGACAGTTCCCGGGGGAAACCTCCCATTCCATTGACTCCCTGGTTTCACTTTGGAGCTCTCGGCAAACCATGGTGAAATATTGGCATTGTCAGTTTTCTCATATGAACCAGAAACAATTTTATTGTCAGGAAATATGAGTGAATTAGATGCAGGCCATATAAAAACACAGCCATAGGCAGACATCAGCCAAAATAAATAAATAAAGATGGGGAAATAACATGAGCTGTTGGATTGGGTATTTCCGTGGGTTTCTTTTAATATCCTCTCACTCCGTGTTCCATCATTTTGTTGTCTGTGAACATTCCCCGGAAGCTAAGACTCCACAAGCTTAGGAGACACGGGAAACAGCACCACAGACCACAGGGACCCAGGCTGTCTCCTCTCCCCTTCCTTCTTTTTTTTTGGTGACCAGTGGTGCTCCTCCTCCTCCTCAACATGCCCTCCTCTTTCCTGCTTGCCTCCCTCTCCTCTCCTTGAACAGAGATGGAGCCCTGTGGAATCTACATCCATGGTACACCTAGCCTGTCTCCTTCACTTGGCCTCATGCGCTGTGTTAACATAAAAGCTTCCTTGCCTGTTTCCTCCACCCCTTCCATAGCCAGGCCATCACCTCCACTCCACCAGTGTGTCCTACAAACCCAGTGTCCACTCACACCCTCCTCTTGCTCACGACTTTCCCATCATCCTCTCTCCCTGGGATTCCCCCTTTCTATCTTCTATGCTTGAAGGCTGGCTTCTTTGGCCCTAGGGCTGGGGACTAGGAGGAGGTCTTGACTGTTGTCCTTGGTAGGGGTCTAGCTGTTGAGCCTGATGGTCCTTCTAAGCTGGTGGCTCTTCCCACACACATTTGCCTGCCTAAGCTGGAATCATCTTCCCATGTTGAGAGTCCTTTGGAACTCTTCTGGAACTTTCTCCCACACTCTCATGCCCATGGCCTTTGCCATCTATTTCGGGGTTTATGGACTGAATGCGTGACTCTTCATCCATCAGACTGATCCAAGAGGCCAGAGACCCTATCTGCTTAACCACTGGTGTGTGCTCAGAGTATCTTGGAGTATGCAGAAGGTGCTCAACAGTGCTCAGCAAGTGAGTGACTGGGGTAGGGAAAGGAACATGAAGGGGATGGTGGGAAGGGGGGAGGGCTGCAGGTTAGCAGACTCAAGGAATCTGGGAGCTTCAGAGCAGGGAGGAGAGCATGACGACCCCACCCTCCCCAGGACCCTGTGATGGCTACTTACAGGTGAGCTCAGCCCACTTGGCCCCGGGGTTGTGGATGCCTCGAAGAGTGAAGCCCCTCAGCCCATCATAGAGCAGCTCCCGATACCGGATTCGAAAGCCCAGGAGAATGCCGTTGATCTTGTCCTCAGCTGGAGGCTACAGGGACAAGGGTCAAGCATGGGGAGGGCCCTTGCCTACTGCTCACCTCACTTCTCCCTCTCTTCCTACCCCGCCTCCCGCAGCCACACAGCGGGGACTCTATCTCAACCCAAAAAAGAAATTGGAATGGCTTGGGACATTTCTGAAGAAGTTGTCACAGTCTCTTGGAGGTGGGGAGGGGCAGGAATCACCATACAAACCCCCTCCCTTTAGCAGAGCAGGAAATATACTCAGAGACATTAGGTACTGAGCCATGGTCACACAGCAGCAATAAGACCTCAATACACCTCTGCAGCCACCACCCATTGCCTGTCCAGGAACTCCGTGACTCACTTCTGGTCTCCCCAGGGCTGATGACTCTTCAGCCAGCACTTCCTGGTGTTTCCCATGAGCTGAGCCCTCTGCCTGTACTACAGCATGTGTGAGGATGTGCATGCCCGTGTCCACGGACCCTCTTTCCTCTTACTGTTCCTGTCCTTGGCTGAGCTGGAGAACAGGCGTTTTGCCAAGTGGAAACTATGCTCTTTATGATACATCTTCTAAGAAATCTGTTGAAATGGTTCAGCCTTTTTATTACCTTCTTAATTGCTTCCCTGGCTGCCATAGGCATCGCCTGGCCCTTTTGTCAGGGTTTCCTATCTACTCCAGCCTCCTCTGGCTCATGTATGGCTGCCAAGTCATTTCCTCTTAGTGGGTATCCCCTCTGGGATTCCCTGGCTTCAGTTGCACAAGGATTGCTGCTGGGGCCAGTTCCTCAGATCCCAAGAAGTAGGGACAGGAGCTGGCCTTTTGTGGGGAGGGCTTCTGTGGGTGACCCGCTGAGCCCAAGACTAGACTTCAGAGAGCGCGTGGGCAGACTGATTGATAAGGTTGCCTTTGACCCTGATAGAATCAACAGTACCCACCAAAGAGCAGACAGCTGGGAGAGACTCTACCCAGACAAGGGGACACCACTCATGATAAGGGTCACAGGTCTCTCTCTGTTAGGAAACCTGTCACTGATTACTGTGTCTGGACTTTGCGGGGCCCTGAGGCTCCTCACAGCCTTCAGGTGCTTTTCTATACACAGATTCCACAGACCAGGGGTCATGAAACTAACCATGTCACTTGAGCTGTGTGACTTCAGGTCACAGAACGCCCCTCCTGAGTCTGTGCTCATCTGCCTGACGTGTGTATCCAGAGGCGGAGGGTGTGTATGTGTGGACACACGTGTATCTAGTGCTCTGTGATGTGAACATGCCTACACCTCTCATGCTTTCCTCTGGGCTCTGGGAGTGTAGAGCAGAGGCAAAGGCAGCTCCGGTGGGGGCTGGTGGAGTTTTTAGTCTTAGGCAAGAGCATATTCGAGTTCTTGGAAATGAACCCACCCTGTCCACCTAGCCGTACCTGCCATCGGATTAGCACAGAGGTGGTCGTGTGGGGTGTCACCGACAGGATGGTGGGTGCCTCATCGGGGGCTGTGGAGAGAGGCGAGGAGTGAACTCTGGGGACCAGGAGTGTCAGCGCCACCCAGGAACACAAGGACCAGATTCTGTCAACACTGGATGGCTGGCTAGGTCCTGTTTAAGTTACCCTGGACACCCACTACCCCTATTTCTTCAGAGCAGACAGCTGGGGTGAACTGGGGGCTTGACTTTAGCCTAAGCCAGGGCCTTGGAGTCCCTCAAAGCCATAGTACTTAGGATGCTGTTAGGTGTAGGGTTGGGGTAGGCATCTGCCCCTACTTCCTGTTAGCTGGAGGGGCATCACTCAAATTCCACGCCGGGGTTGGGATCCTGCGCCCTGGGAAAAATCCCTTTGGTCCCAGACCTCTAGGAATTGTGGCCTGGAGGCAGATAGGCCTAGCAGGTCTAGTGAGCCCTCTCTCACCCCCAGAGGCCCCTCCCATGGGAGAACACTTCATGCCCAGGAAGTGACCAGGGTCAAGAGCAAGAGCTCTAAGCAGGGAGGTGGTGCTGACCGGCCTGCAGGGTGGTCAGCGACTCTGACTCCTCACTGAACTCGCTGTCCCCGATGTCGTTGGTTGCTTTCACTCGGAACTTGTAGGATGTGAAGGGCTTGAGTCTGTAGAGGGAATCGGGGGCCAAGGACCAAGGTGTCAACCATGATTTGAGCATGAACGATCTCCCACAGGCTCACGTGTTAAAGACTTGTTTCCGAATTGGTGTGACTGCTTTGAGAAGTGGGGCCTTGGTAGAGGAAGCACATCACTGGGGACAGAGCATAAGAGGGTACACCTTATGTCCTCCCTCTAGGTCTCTTTCCTGGTCACCATGAACCTCTGTCACACACTCCAAAGTAACAGACTAGCTGGCTTCCGCTGAAACCTCTAAGGCTGTGTTCCCAAAAAATCCTTCCCCCTTAAGTTGCTTCCTCCTGGAGACTGTCGTAGTGACAAGTCTGACTGACATAGTGTCCCTCAAGACCTGGTCCCACACACCTCCACTGTGGGGTCTCATCTATCCTGCCGGAAGAGGGGAACCAGGGGAGAAAGGAAGGCGTGAATGCTGACCCGCCCCACAGATGGAAACATGAAGGCTGGGGAAGGAGTCACATTGGGACAGGCTCAAAGAGATGCCGAGTGCCCAGGCCAGGTCCCACACCATCCCTGCTTAGCCTGTCTTTCACTGTAATGAAAGATAAGTTACACATCTCCAGGTTTATGTTTACCCATGTTTGGTGGCCATGAAAACATTCATGCCAGACAGTGGTGGTCTTTAATGCCAGCACTCAGGAAGCAGAGGCAGGCAGATGTCTGTGTTTGAGGCCAGCCTGGTTTACAAAGTGAGTTCCAGGACAGCCAGGGCTACCCAGAGAAACCCTGTCTTGGAAAAACCAAACCCAAAACCATTCCCAACTCTCTCTCCACACAACTGAATGTATGCCCCCCCCCCCCCCCCCGCAAGCTACACTGCCTTTCCTAAAATTAGAATTTTTTTTTTGAGGTGGCGAGTGGAGTTCCCCAGAGACAAGACGAATTGTCTCTCTAAGTTTCATTTTCTTCCCGATAAATGTCTTTCTTCTTGATTTACAGGGCTGGGGGAGAGGGAGGAAAGCCTCGCTCAACTTCCAGGTCACGTTGACTGGAATATGAAAAAATACAACCACCAGGGATTAGATTAGATTGAGGCCAGCATTTTAGAGAGGAACTTCATACCCCTATTAGAGATAGGAGGAGGATGCGGGCAGCCAGGAGAATCACTAATGAAGGATCGCAAGCGCTTCGCTAAGGGAGCCCAGCAGGCTCCACAGATAATTAAGAGGTAGCTTTAATGGGCTTCCCAAGGAGGGGGAGAGAGCTGGAAGGGGTGAGTGTGCCTAGTGGGGTGAGCCGAGGAAGACTTGGGTGACCAGCTGAAGGCGCTCTCAGAAACCACCCCCTCCCTCCTGCAAGGATCACTGGAGGTCTCCGGGAGAGAAGGGAACAGAGAGGTGGGTGCGAACCCCGCCTTACCTGTCCACAGTGAAGGCAGAGGCATTGTGGCTCACAGATGCTGAGTGCAGGGCCCACCGGCCGCTGGGCAGTTCACGCGTCTGGATGGTGTAGTAGCGGACTGGGGAGAGCCCATCGCTGCCTGGCTCCCAGGACAGCATAACGCTGCGAGCCTTCACATCTTCCTGCTGCACCACGGGCTTGCTAGGGGGCTGCGGGCGGTCTGGGAGGCAGGGCAGGGGAGGACACAGGTGAGAAGGGAGAGCCTGAGTAGGGGTGGGAGAAGGGTTGCTCCTTCTCAAGGGCAGGGAGAAGGTGTCATGAACTGGACACAGACGCCTCCTCTCTATCTCACTTCCACATTTGTGAGTCTTGTACGGTTTCTGCCAGCAGTCAACACACGAGTCTTCAGGCGAGACCTGCCCTCAGCCCCCAGAGCCCCGGGTGCCTGGGGAGTCGCGCCTCTCGTGACAGCTTCTGACGGAGGAGTTGACACATTTGCTTCTGCTACTGACAGAGATGGGACCTGCCTTGTGCCTGACTGAGTGGGAGTGAACCATGCTTCTCTGTGGGAATTCATTACCGTCATCCCCCTGTTCCATTCTCTATACAGCCCATTCTCTGTCGTATGTCATCATGTGTCCTCACTGCTTATCCCAGTCACCCACTAGGAGGGGCGCTAAGCCTCTGGGTGGGCTACAGAGCCCCGCTTCAACTCCCCAGGCCTCCCCAGCCCTGTGGGCAGTCACCTCTCTTCTCTGTGGTCACCACCAAAGCTTCAGCAGCCTCTCCCCAGCCTTTCCGGGTCTGGGCTGTGATGCGGAACAGGTAGACAGACTCTGGCTTGAGGCCGGTGGCCATGTACTGGCGGGCACTGGGTGCCAGGACCTCCACGGTGGCAGTGTTGGCTGTAGTGGCATTGAGCCGGTGTGTGATCTGGTAGGCTGTAGGGAAGAAAGGCAAAGGGCAATGAGGGGCAGCAGAGTAAGCAGCCCCAGTGCCCCATGAGAGAACCTAGCCCTACATGGGCACAGCAGCACACGCCGTCAGACCTCCCTGGATTTGCTTTGGCTGTGTGACAGTCTTCTCGTCACCCTTACACCTTCAGCTATGGTGGAGGAATGCCTGCTTTGGTGGGCTAAGGAGTTCAATGCACAGCATCTTAGACCCCTGTATTAGTCCATATGGAGATGAGAGAGGCCAAGTCACCTGGCTTTGAAGCAACAGCCCAAGGTTTTCTAGATAAAGAAGTTGATATCCATCATCGTTTTGTCTTC